ATAAATATTCACCAAGTACTTCGAACATATAATAAGGAATACAGAAACATTATTATAATGATCAACATAGACAAGACTATTTCATTCTAAGAAAAAATGACATGCCTATTGATTTTAGTGTATGTAAGGGCCAGAGATCCCTATCTTCTGGTTACGTAAAACTCCTATTCAAAGAATTAGCTACTCAAAATTAGGACCATATATTTAATTTTTAATAAGCTACCTTTTCTGTATAGAAGACAGAAAAAAATGAGGCACAGTAAAAACTAATGAGATTGCTAATAAAAGCACTGTAAGTTTAAGGCAGTACACTAAGTGGTACTCCTGAGGGGTCTGCCTTTGTCTTAAGATATAACTATTTCACATAACATCACCTTACAGAGAAAATACTCTTCATGATAGTAAAGTATTCCAAAACTAATTAGAATCATCAATATACAAAAGAAAATACACATCCTGATGAAAATAAACTTCCCAACCAGCCACTGGCTAGAAGGCTGAGATTGAAAGGATTGCAGTTCCAAGCCAGACAGACAAATAGCTAGCAAAACCCCAACTCAACCAATAGCATGGTGGCACACCTATCATCCCAATGACAGCAACAAATTTACAATAGGAAGATAGTAATCCAGCCAGTCTGGGCAAAAAGCAAAACCTTGTCTCCAGAATAACCCAAGCAAAAAGAGCTAGACCTGTGGCTCAAATAATAGAGTACCTAATTCATAAACAGGAAGCCCTGAGTTCAAGCCTCAGTACTACCAAGAAAAATAAACTGTCTTGAAAAACAAAGTTGTTACAACCTATGAAGGCTACCTTTATTTATATAGGCACTGACCTCAAAGGACAGAATAGACTAATTATTTCTCAATAACCCTTTGTTTTTCTGATAGTTAGGAACATAAGAAATATACATTTAAATACATTTAAATGAAAAATTTAATGGCTACCTTATGTGCAGAAGACTGAAATTGACCCCTAACTCTCACCCTGTACAAAGAACAACTCTAACTGGATCTAAAATCTTAATGTAAGACTTGAAACATTGAGGCTACTAAAGGAAAACTTCAGAAGATATAGACATAAGTAATTGTTTTCTGCATAGAACTCCAAATGCCCAGGAAATAAGAACAAGAGTTGACAAATAGGACTGAATCAAATTAAAAAGATTCTGCACATCAAAAGAAAGTTACCAGACTCAAAAGACAACCCACAGAATGGATAAAACTCTCTGCTAGCTATTAACAGATAAATGATTAAAACCCAGAATATACAAAGAACGCAAAAAACTAAACAGAGTAATTCAGTTAGTAAATGAACAAATAAACTGAATAGACAGTTCTAGGAAGAAATACAAATGGCTAATACATGAAGCAGTGTTCAATATCCTTAACCATAAAGAAAACGTAAACCAAAACTACACCAAAAATTCCATCTCACCCCAGTCAGATTTGCCATCATCAAGAAAAAAAACAACAAATGCTGATTAGGATGGGGGAGGGCAGGAAAGCAACCCTCAATACTGTTTTTGAGAATGTAAATTTGTGCAACCACTGTGGAAGTCAATATGGAGGCTCCTCAAAAAACTAAAAATAGACCTACCTTACGACTCTACCATACCACTCACTCTTGAGCATATCCAAAGAAGGGTAAATCAATATAAGAAAGATACCTACATACCAATGTTTATTGCAGCTCTGTTCACAATAGCCAAAAGTGCCAACCAACCAATAAATGGATAAAGAAAATGTGATATACACACCATACATTATTCAGACATAAAGAAAAATGAAATTATGTCATTTGCAGGAAAATGAATGTAACTGGAGCTCATATTAAGCGAAGTAACGAGGTTCAGAAAGACAAACTGAAAGAAAGAGCAGTCATCTCCCCTGCCCTTTCAGAGGTAGCTTCCTTGCACACACAATAAAATCCATTCCTTACAATACCTTACGTTATGATCAGGCCTTCCTCACCTCACATTCCTACCCACTCAGCTCTAGACTCATTGGACTTTGACACTCCTGAAACTCTCCAAACTCATTTCCACATAGGAGATTACACTCCTCCCTTTGTGTCTGGCACCTTCTCATCATTGACACCTCAACACAATGTTACCTCCTCAGAGAGGCCTTCACTGACCAGATTACCCAAAGTAGCTCTGCCCATGCTCTGCCACCTCACCCAGTTTCCTTTTCTTCCCTAGTATTTAATTCTTGTTGAACTATCTTATGTGTTTACTCACAGACCGTCTCCTCCCAACTAGAATATAAGCTCCCTTGGAGCAGGGACCTTTCCTTTCTTATTCAATGACGTATTCCTGTATGTCTACTAGTACAATGACTGATATACAATTAATATTTATTAACAATAATCCACAAACATTTACTAAGGTAACAAGCACCTTACTTAACAGCAACAGTATGAGGACGGGAGGCATGGTTCAAATGGTAGAATGCCTGCTTTGCAAACATTGAAGCCTTGAGTTCAAACCCCAATCCCACAAATAAATAAATGAATAAATAAATTAAATATTGGTATGAAAAGTAATTTGGTATTCTTTTTATGCTAATCATTCCCATTCTTAAAATAAGTGACCTTACACAATAAATTGCTTTTAGGATTTTTTTTAATTTTAGTGTTCTAAAAATATTAAAGCATAAAATTTGAAAATCCCTAAAGTAGTAATAATAATTATTATGTTGAGATTAAAAGTTATCTGGATGATCACACTTTTTTTAATGCACAATTCATGGAAACTAATTAAGTTGTAACTCAGTAAGATACTATCTAGAAGACTTCAAATTTCATCTTCACATACACATTTTCCTTCCAGACAAAAAAACTCAAGACTCTTTAAAACCTTTCTATTCACTACATACATAAATATTTACAACATGACAATAGGAGTTATCAACTCACCATTTATTGTCCGGCCTCAGATTAATCTATTAGTTTCATTCAAGCCAAGAAGTGATCAATTCCAATTATTAATCAAGTTCACTTCACAAAAGTCATCACTACAGTTAAGATTCACCACTCACACTCCAATGCCTATCATGAAAAAACATGTCCAGTTGTGTTTAGGCTAAAGAGTTATATTTCATTCTTATCAGAGTGCTCTTAGGGCCATCTAATCCAGAATCACAGCAGAAAACCTTATTTGTTGTAAAATCTTACCAGTTATTACCACTGACATTATGACATCACTAAACACCTTATAGCAATGCATCAACTATGAAGAAGCAAATTAAAAGCTCCAGGCAATGAATTAATGACATTTCTTAACCTCAGGTAAGTGCTTCCTATAACATTTTACCTTTTAACACATTTTAAAAGTATAATATTCTACCACAAAATACGTTAAGGATTGAGTAAACAAGATAGGGTGAATACAGGGTGATATGGCCACAGACAAAGCATAGCACTATATGATGACAGATTTCAAAAACCTGAGGGAAATATATCCATCCTTCATCCAACTTTGAAACTAAAACACATTTTGAACAATAGGGTAATCTCAAATGTACTTATTCAAACGCACTTGTTCTATTTAAAATTAGCATTCTCACCATATTTACCAATAGAAAAGAAGTGAGGTGGAGGGTCTTTGTGATCATTGTATGAAAATACAAGAAAACATTCACTTTATTTTGCTTTATAACACAGTTACTCATAAAGTTAAAAAGCTGTGGGTAAAGTCAAACAAGATTAAAGTCTAAAGGTCAAAAAGCTCAATATTTTCCATCATTTCTATTTGTTTCTTACTACTCTTCCCTTAAAAAGAAAGTTTCCTCTAGATGTTTAAAAAACTGGTTCTATATTACCCTTGATTTTTCTCTTTACTCTAATTACCTGTTTGTATAATCAAACAAACCAGTTTTAGAACACCTAAAATTAACCCTCATATTGAAGTAAACTCATATTAAAATCAGAAATTATTTACTTATCACTGTCTTTACATTGGCCCCCAGGACCAAAATAATTGGTGATAAACTCAGTAAGACTTTGTCGCCCTTTGTTTTCAAATAAGTCATTAAATTGCTCAAATAGTCAAAATATATACCGTATGAAGGATGGATGTATTTCCCTCATGTTTTTAAAATCTATCATTACATAGTGCTACACTTTTTCTCTGACAATATCACCCTGTATTCACCCCATCTCGTTTACTCAAATATTTCAAAAATATTAATTTTCAGTCAGGTGCCCGAGGCTCACACCTGTAATTCTAGCTAGTCAGGAGGCAGAAATTAGGAGGATGGAGGCTTGAAGCCAGCAGGCAAATAGTGGGACCCTATCCTGAAAATAACCAACACAAAAAAAGGGCCAAGAGAGTGGCTCAAGTGGTAGAGCATCTGCTTAGCAAGCATGAGGCCCTGAGTTCAACCCACGTACCATCAAAAAGGGTAAATATAAATTTTCTTCTAATTCTTAGAAAAAAGATCTCCATACGAATAACTTTTCACTGACTTTCGCTATCTGCTCATTTGCCAAAGAAACCACAGGACTCCTTTGTCTAAGGCAGTAACTTTTGAAAACTTATTTTAAGTTATTTCAAATATTTATGTTTGCTCAAGAAGAGAATTAACAAACAGGAGCCACATCACTATTACTGTAAAAATAATCTATTCTCAGCACATAAATGAAAAAAAAAACTTCATTGGAAAGGATTGTTCTAATTTACCAATGGTTTATCACTGTCAGAGCTAAGATAAAATACATGCCTTTGTAAAGATACACTGTCCAAATTCCTTAAAATTGGGTAGTATTTTTAAAGTACTCTCTTCCGCTATATTCCATGCCATAACAAATGCCTACACACTATAATATTAGTCTTTCAATTACTTGCTCAAAACACTAAGGTGTTTTCTTCTTAGCAGAAAACAATGGAAAAATGGATACAGTGCTTCTATAGCTCCAAACATGTTATTATTACCACAAATAAATTTTAGGTGGTTAGGTTACAAAGACATCACAGATGGCTTCTGACATGCACTCACACATAACCGGGGCTTCCTCTCCATCACTGAAGTCACTTAGATGGCGTAATTGGTGAGCGCTGAATAACAGAAGCCTCTTCTAAGGACAGATAGTACCCATTTTAGAAAAAGTAATTCCCTGCATGTGTTGTTTTCTTTACTAAACTCACACCTATACTAAATTCTATTATTTCTGACAGTGTTGCAGGTCTAAATTTAAGAGAATTATTTCAAATCTAACTGGTTTTTAAAAGTGCAAATGTTATTTTTAAAAACACATCACAAATAAACTATCATAAAACTGCATTGTTCGAAATTTCAATAGCAAAGTGCCTCATTTTTTAAAGAAGAAATAATATCAAAAGACTCCTTCCAAATGCTGCTTTCCTTTTTTTTTAAATCTATACAAATATATCTCCAAATTACACAAGTCCAATGAACCACCTACATTTGTAGAAATTTTGTATATTACATATGTCTTTTTTATAAAAAGTGTATGTTTCACCTTTTCAAAGGAGTTCATAACTCAGTTAAGATAAAGTGTCAGGAACGACTGTCATGGTCAGATAACTGGTCATGGGCAAGCCAAGCCTCATTTTCCATCCCACTAGGGGAGAACTGATTGTAATTTCGGTGGCTCCTGCACAACTTGCAAGTGATGCAGGCACGAAATGGCTGTCCGCACGCGGACGTAGCAAACCCCTAATTTTCCTTGAAGGGGCCTGGAAAAGGCAAAGGAATTAGAAGCCCTATTGCTCAAAGGTCGATTAGCTCCGAGGGACGTGCCATGCTCTCACGCCAGAGGAGGCTGCGGGGCGGCGACCCCATTCCTCCCGGGAACTGAGGTCCCTTCGGGGTCTCGCACAGCAACCGCATCCCCGGCAGCCCCCTCCGCCCTGAAAAGCACCCAGAGAAGCGGCAGCGGGCGTGGACTCGGCAGGGCCGCCCCGCGCCCCACCGCAGACCCGCGGCCCATCTGCCGCGCCCCGGGCCTCCGCGGCTCGGTCGCTGCGACCTTCCCGCCTGGTCCCGCGGGCAAGTCCGGTCCCCCCGCCGGCCACGCGGCCCCGAGGGAAGTAGAGGAGGAGAACGGACAGCAAAACCCAACCCTCGGGGCCCGGCGGAGCTGGGAGTCGCGGAGCGGGGCTGCCACCCCGGGCCGGTGCGCCGGGATGCGGCGGACGCCGCCCGCCAGATGTCAGCGCCCGAGCGGGGGAGCGCGGCGGGCGCGCGCCGGCGTCGGGGAGGCGGCTGGGGAGGAAGAGAAGGAAACAGGGGAGCGGCGACAGGGTCTCCAGGCGCCGCTGGTCGCCGTGACCCCCACCCAGCTGGGCTGTCCTGGTCCTTACCCGCCGAAAAGCTGCGGGCTCCGCCGGGGCTGTCCCGGCCGCTGGCCTCGGGGGCCAGGAAACGGCCCCACATCGCGGGCGGGCCGGGGGCGCCCGACTTCCCACCTCCGTCCTCCCCTGCTTTCGTCTCCGGCTTCTTCGGCGGCGGAAACTTGTGCGGAGCCTGGGCCTCGGCGGCACCGGCAGAAGGGAGGACGGGCGAGTTAACGGCTGCTCAGCGAAGGGCGGGGAGCGCAGAGGACAGATTCGCCGCAGTGGCCGCGGTTGCCATGGCCAAGCCGGCTGGGTTGAGGCCCGGGCCGGGGAAGTAGCGGCTCCGCGATGTCGGGAGCTCGAACCCCGGCTGCGCCGCGGCTCAAAGCCTCCAGGTTAAGTTGCAGCTGCGGCTTCTCTCAGCCCCCCTCCGCCCGCGGAGCCGGAGCCAGGCCTGGGCCGGCCAGGGAGGAGGCGGGGCCTGCGGGGGGGCGGGACCTTTGGGGGCGGGGCCTCGGGAGCTCACTTAAGGCGTGCGCGGCGCCGGCGCGGGGGCGGGGTCTGCGGGTGCACGCGTTTCAGCTCTTTTTCTGGAGGCTGCTCTGCTACAGCCCTTCTTCCCTATCGTTTTCCCCGCAAGATAAGCGGTGGGCCATAATTTGACCTCGGGCCCTGTTGTGTATTACACGCCCCACCCTCGGGTAATTTCCCTCGCCCTCTGGGGTAAGGTTATGAAAGAGGCGTGGAGGATCTGCCCCTGCACCACCACTGCTAAAATGAAGCGACTAGACTTGGAGGGGCTTTCAGTCTAAATTGGTATTGGGATGTGGATTAAAGTCATCATCCACAAATACCATTTATACATCACTGTGGGGATAGAAAAGGGTTTTCCTTCAACAATTTAATGGGGAAAAGTGTAAGACGGGTGTCGAATATTTCTAAGACACAGAGATGTATTCAAAAAAGGTAGACATGAAAAAGACCTGAGGGTAATTAGGACTAGAGAGTTCAGTTTGCGGCCTTAATTGTAATATTAACGTCCAATGTTGCAGATAAGCAACCAGAAGAGTCCAAATGGCACCATTTACTTTACTTTGGAAATAAAGTCTTCCTACCTCCCACACCTTAGCCTTGGCCTCCTGCTGGTCTGTTCCCACCCTTCTGAACCTGAGTACTGAAGCAGACATCCCAAGCAAAGACAAAAAGATGCAGCATCCTCGTTTAAATCTTCTCGTTCATATGATGATCCTTGCAACATTTAGATTAAAAACAGTTAATAAATACTGTTGGAGCACTATAGTAGGAGACGGGCTCCGAGATAAGCCTATCACTCAGAGGTAAACCAGAACTTAAGTCTCTGCCCTCCAGAGGCTTTCAGTCCAGTGATGGTTTTTCCAGTTTTGGAAGTTTGCTAACAAAGCCCTTGTATTTACATTTTTCCTTAAAGATATTGTAATTGGGAAATAATGCTTAAAATTTTTAGAGATTACATTTAGTTAGGTATTCTATCACCACATCTGCGTTGCAATTTATCTGATGGCAGTTGTACATTTAGTCTCCCAATGACTTTCAGTTATTTCTCCAAATCATGAGATGTTGGCCAAGGGTCAACTGTCTCTGATGATAAACAGTGACATAAAGACACAAAAAAAATGAGACTAGTTCCTTTTTCTGATTTAAATATGACACTTGAATGGGGTAGTTTTAAAAAAGAAAAAAACCAAACATCTACAAAAATAATTTCCAAAATTAGAAATATCAGAAGCTATAATACTGTATCCAGTACACAATTATCATAATTCATAGTTACCATAGTCTCATATTACATACAGCATTTAGTAAACACACAAACTTTTGAATACAGTTCTAAGAAATGTATGACCTATTGCAGATATATCTTGGAGTTCAGAATTCTGAGTGTATACTGAACTGGTACTTCCCCCATATTCATGAAACATGAATGATATATCCATGGGGTGATCCACATTTCTCAGAATTTTATTATTAAAATTTGTCATAGCACAAAAGAGAGAACCTAAGCACTACGTAATCATTACTAAAACTGATGTACACTGGCATATTTTTGTTTTGTTGTGACAGTATGCTAAGATCATAAGGAGAATCTTACAAACAAAGATTGTTATTTTTGAACCTAAATAAATCTCTGTCTTGGTAATTGTTCTACTGAACATAGGTAATACAAGTAATAAAGAAAACAGTAACAGTGTATTTATTTACATATGTCCACATATATGTAAATATGGTTGCTCAGGTAAAATTTAAATGCTTAATGTTTTGGGACAGACTCTTGTTTGGGGAGGGGATGTGAACTAGATCAGAAAAAAGAAAAATAGTGCTAAATCCATCAAATTTAATACCAAACTATATTAAACTCATTTAAAATGTTCCATTCAAAATGGCATTGTTTTAAAATGAAAAATAAATGTTGCATTCATAAGTTTTAAATTTGGATTTAAATCTCTGAACTGATGTTTAGTACAACTCAGAGAGCCAAAAAGGGGTATAAAGAGCAATGGATAACGGTGATTTTTTAAATTAGAAGAAATGCTCACTCATGCTATGGGAAAACCTGAAGAGATCTTTATATTTACAAAAGTATAAAGTGTCAAAACAACACAAACAATAGGTAAATTAAACCAAACAATAACAATTGAAATAGTTCCTAAAGAATGATTGCCAATAGATAGAAAAAGATTTATGGATGAATTCTAAAAATTCCAACAGCTAGATAATTCTGGTGTATCAAGAACTATGATTTGCAACCTTTTCCAAGTCAGAAAAACAAGTTATGCAATTATGTTGTAATAATCTCAAATAATCGCTCATAATAAGGAAGAAATAAAACTAGGATCACTCTTTCTTTTTTGAAGATGGATTCAGAAATCTTAATTGGTTTCCTGGAAGATAGAATTCAGCTACACGATAGTGACTAGAAGACAAGTAGTTACTTAATCTGTCTGTGCCTCAATTCCCTCATCTGTAATTTGGGAATATAACAGTGACTACTTCATAGGTTTGTTGTTAGGGTTAAATGCATTAACATTTGTAAAATACTTAGAGCACTTCATGTCTGCACAATATTTGGTAATACAAATGCACAGTCTAGAAATGGAACTCAAGAAAAAATAATAATTGATATGGGCTAGATCAGTTGTAAATCATGCTTTATATACATGTCTCAGATGGGGTAAAGTACTGTTTTCTATCTTTTCCTGATCCTTCCATTAGCATTACCAACTATACCAGGAATAATGGTGAAATAGTACAGTGTTGAGAAATATTTACCAAGTTCTTTGGAGCCAAGTTAAAAGATGATTTCATTCTATACCGTGATTCCCTGAACTCCCCATGTGGTGGCTGTTTAAGTACTGGGTTTGATGTCCCTCCCTGGTACTATCAAAACAGAGAAAGGAAAATTAAGGAGAGGTGGTTGGCTGGAGCTAAAAACGCGAGGACACCTCATCTCAAGCCTGATTCCTGGGAAGTACAGAAAATGAAATCCACCTGTACCTTTGCCTCAAATGTGAACTGTAATGGCCAGTGAGAAAATAAGATATGGAACACTGAAGCTGTCCTTGGGAGATGGAGTGGGGCTAGGAAGGATGGAATTCCACCAATAGATCACATCTTCCAAGGTACTATCAATGTTTACTGGAACTGCTTGTACTGACACCTTTGTCAGTGGAACTTGTAGTGACTAACTGGTCATACTGAGCTTATGAAAAGAAGCAAGATCATTTACAGTGAAAGGAGACAGCAACCTTGACAGTGCTTGCATAGGAAACAAATTCTTCCCTGCCTGTCTTCCTTTTTAGACACTGGAGTGCAAATAAGAAGCATGAAAGTGTGGATTTCAAGAAAACAGATCATGTCCTTACTACATACATACACAGCCTATTTGACATGCACTAGAGGGCTGTTTAATAACTAAAAATGTCTAAAATATTCTGGAATTAAATCAAGATGTTCTCAGTGAAAAATGGGATATCAGTAATTGGTAGTAGTTGCTGGAGGGGAAAAAAACCTCAATTAATATACTTTCAATGATTGAGACTTCTCACTAAACCAGCTATTTTATATAATCTTCAAAAGAATCTGTCATGAAGAGTTACTATTAACAACACTTCACAGAGGAGTTAGGTAAAGCCATACAGGAAGTATAGAGCTAGAATTCAAATCTGAACCACAAAGTCCATGCTTTTTCCACCGTGCTCTTCAACAGGTTGTAAATAAAAATAATATTTTTCTTCAGCTGCCATGTGAGAAGAAAGTACCTAATTATAACATTTCTGGGTAGTGTTTAGGGTTCAGCTAAGATTGGTAACTGTGACATTAAACTATGGTGCCAAATGGTTTTCTTTTGCTGTAACCAGTAGCTTAAGTATAAGAGAGAAAAGACAGCAGATAGATAAACTGGGTTTGCCTGGACACCTAGGCAAAAGGACAAGGTATTTAAAGATAGTGGCTGGAGCACAGTTCAAATAATGGGGTACAGAGTCTAGCCTCTCTGGAAAAAGCAATGAAATCAAGAGAAGGCTGAAATGCTGAGAGAAGGTGGAGGAAACACGGAAGTGGAAGTTTTGCAATCAAAACACAAATATAATGAGAGCAAGGTGGTGACTGCTGGAAAGAACTGACCTTAGGGTGAGAAAGTAGGATGTTAACATTTAAGGCTTTAGCGGTGGGGCAGTGGAGGAATTAATCTGTGAGTCAACATTGAAAGTGTGTCTCTCTGATTTCCCTTCAAGAAAGACTTTAAAGTTCCACTGTAAGGAAAGCAACCTGCTGACAGCCTCCAGCTACTACCACTCCCAGGATCTGCCTCCACCTCTAAGTGGACAAGATGCTCTGTTCCCAGGTATTTCCAGCCAATGACTGAGCATGGGGCAGATCCAGGGCCTGGCTACTCTTCCCAATGTAGAGCCCTTCTAATCATCAGTGTTTGTTCTGTTCCTCCACTGGGTTGTCGGGGTTGTCGTAGACCTTGTCAGATTGTGGGCTGAGCCATTCCTTCCCAGTCATGCTTCCTGCCTTTGTCATCTTTCACAGATTACCACCAATAAACCTCTACATGATATTTCAGCATCTGTACCACCAAAAATAAAAATATATAAAGGAGTTGGATTTTTGTCTATGTTTCTTATTTTAAATAGGAAACTGGAATTTCTATAGAACATAATGAAAATGTTTCGGAGATGACAGTATACCAGGGATGAGTTATGTCCTGGGAGGAAGGTCCTCTATGCTCCCGACTGGGCTGGGCCTGCTTGGCAGCTGCTGCCCCAATTAGAAAAACTTGCTACTATCCAAAGTACTTCCACAAGCAAGTTACAAACTTGTAAAACTTATTGAGTTCTTTGAGGTCAACAGGATTTTAATTAGTTAATTAAGAGTAATTAATTGCTTACAACTTCACTACCCAAATTTTAAATCATTA